TCCTTCCTTCCTTCCTTCCTTCCTTCCTTCCTTCCTTCCTTCCTTCCTTCCTTCCATTATAACCCAAGTTACTAGGCAAAATTCCTACTGGATGTGGCCCATTTTCATCTTCAAAGTTCTGAAATGCCTTTGCCCTTTATATCTTGTTGCTGTCAGTTTCTAATCTATCCCTGCCTGAGATTTCCAGCTCAACCACCTACGTCTCTCTAAAAGTTTTTTTTTCTCTTTTAGAGAATTTCACCTTTTCTGTCTTCCTATCCTTTAGCTACTGACCTCCCTTTAAGAACAAGGATTCCATCTTTCTTCCTTCAGATCCTTTCACATCTTTCCCCAAAAGAATACAGCACAAATATTTAGGCTTTTTTCAAGTGGATATTAAAATGAAGTATATAAATTGAACCTCGTTTACTCTCTCCATTGTCTTGCTCTTCAGTTTCAAATGCTGTATAATAAACACTTCAGGGCGGTGTAAAGTGTTGATATCACTGCATTTAAAAGAAATAGCAAGGTTGCACTTTAATCATGTTCTGGAATGGGCAATCAGGGCTTCACTTATATTTGTGTTTGTGGGCTGCAGCGAGTGGAGCACATCCAGATCACAGATTTGGATGGGACAGAAATGTTATATTTTTAAAGATTTCTTGAGGTTTTAATGTTAAGCTAGGTTTATAGTTTATGTTATCAAGTAAAACCTATTTCTAGTTCAAGTCTTCTCTGAGTCAAGCTCAATACCTGGCAGCTTCATGGAGCAGGCCATGTAGTCTTCTTAAGTGTAACAAGATGGAACTGCCATATCATTGCCCAATTCCATAATGGTTTTTAGAATTCTTAGTATTGACTATAGTCCTTGTGGTCTCCCATCCAAATACTAAGTAAGTCTGACTTAGCTTTTTCAAGATCAGCCACAGTTGGCTCAATACTGCCATCTAGCAGAGCATTTAAGGCTTACTTTGAAATTTTTCTGTGCACCATACCAACTGCAAGAAGATTAGATGCACTCTTTGAAGGAGCTTATTGTTGAAGTGGGTTGGAAGCCACATGTATCCCAGAGTCTTCAGATTGCTCATCATTGATTATTTTCTATATTCAAGTTAGGTATATTGTAGCAGACAGTGGAATCTGCTGTTCTGTTTTTCTCAAAGTTTAGAACATTTTGTATTCTTTTTTTTTTTTTTTAGCTACTGAGTGCCCAGTATTGAAAGTAGAAGGACATCACTTCAGCCATCTGTGCAAAGAAAACTCAAGGGTTTCAGGTGAGTTTTCTTTATATTAAATAAGATAATGTCCAACATTATTACAATGCATACTTTTGATTTTAATAATAAATTGTGCCTTTAATTTTTGGGAATGTGTTTTAATGAAAGAAGAACATTTCATTCAGAATGTTGTAAATGAGTTTAGAATCATCTTTCTGTTTTTCATTCATCTTTGCTCTAATTAGTATGAAAAAATGAGAGCAGCATTTCCAGCTCATTCAGATGCAAAAACCCCCAAAAAACTACAAGTACATTCCTCAGAGGTTGCCAAGTCAACTACTAGAAGAATTTCCTATTAATATACTATTAACAGTGAAAACTGAGATCTGGACATTGTTGTGTCCAAGATCTGAGATAGCTTATCATTTAGCCTGGCAAAACCAACAAGCTTATTGCGCCATTTTATCTGCTTTAATAACTTACATTAAGTGGACAGTAAATGATACTGCTTGATTACATTTTTCAGGTTTTGATTTAGCAGAAAGCTTCTCTTTGAGGCAGACTTCATGTGGAGTTGAAAAACCATGTTTTAAATTGGGGAATGTACCTCTTATCAAAGATTCTCAGTAAGTAATAAAATACACTATCCTTAGATAACTATTGGTGGCGTATCAAGGGTGGGGTGATTGGGGCAGCCCGCTGACAATAAGGGGGTGCAATGCCTGGTGACTTGTAGATGATGATGAGGTGTCTGGAGGGTTGGGGGGTGTGGATCCAGGTCACTGTTGCCATCGTGCCAATCAGTTGTCTGGCAGTTGGTGGCATGGCACAGCAGCAACGGAAGGGGGGGTATTAAGATATGGTCTGCTCCAGGTGTCAAATACTCTAGGTACACCACTGATAACTATTTATAATCTCTAAATGTTATTTTATATTGTTCTTTAATTCTCTTTTTCATATTCATTATCTCTTCTCCTTGGGTTTCTTTATTCCGTGTTTGAATTTCCATTCTCTCTGTCCTGCAATGATTAATTGCTTTTTCTGCAGCTTTTAGTTTGAATTTCAGCTATGTAAATTCCAAAGCAGTTATTTTTTTCTGAACTCTGGATAGTCATGTACAGTTCTTTAGGTCTTATTCACAAATAAACAGTGGAATAAAAATAATAGAACAGAAGCTTTTATATGCTGTGTGAAACATTCTAAAGTTCAATTTCAATTTTAACGTAGGTCTTGGAAAACGTAATAATAAGTTTATTTTAAAAAAACTAGAAAGAGGATCATGTAGCAAAACAGATTATCATTTCATACGAATAGATCTTTCCATGCTGGCTATCAGTTTATTTTGGATTTTCTCCTCTGCTGCTAGTCAAACTGTAGTTTGTATAAAATGTTCCCCGACACTAACGATTTGAAAAAAGAACATTTGCCAAAATAAAAAGTTTTGTAAACCTGTCTGATTCTTCTCCATTCTTTATGAACAAATGCACACATTAATAAATGAATATGATAAAGCCCACAGTTTCAAGTTTAGGATATGTGTGCATACCCAAATCCAAATGCTCTGCAGATTTTCTTGTTCATTTGTTTTCTTCCCTCCTCAAAGATCCAAGTACTCTATAAATGTTTCTAGATATATATATATGATTTGTGGCTTTTGATGCAAAGACAGTTTAAAAGGAAGCTGACATCAGTCTGCACACAGCACGTTACCCTATATTCCCAAACCACTTTTGAAACCCTCATCTGTGGTTCCTGTGTACAATGCTTTTGAAGAGGAAATCCTCAAATCTGTAAATATGTTTTTGTACACTTTTAAATTTTTATCACACAGAGCTAATAAGGTGAGATTATAAAGAGAAGTCTAGGAGTTTAAAGTTCTGCAGTGAAAACATCTTTATCTCGGTTGCTGAATTGCAGTATGTTCTGTTAATTTGCCGCCTCCTTCTTTTCTTACAGTCAGATTATTTGATTTTAAAAGACACAGCAGTGCAATCAATGACATGATTTGAGAGTTCATCTCTTCTCTTAGAATATGTAAATAGATTGTGGGATATAGTGAGTAGCAGAACACTGGTCTCCCACTACAGGAAATGAAAGGGTATCTGATTAAGCTGACTTGAAAGTGTCAAGTAGCTTGGCAAATATCCCCTTACATTTCACTCATTCAGCTATAGCATGAGTGACTGTAAACTATGCTAGGCTTCTTCTGTTGTGTGATGCCATTTTATTTTTCAGTGGGGACTTGCAACTATTGAGGCTTCTGTAAAAAATTATTCTTTCCCACAGTAAGGGAGGAAGTGAGAGGTTGTGGATTTTTTTTAATGTATGTATTTAAGTATTAACGTATTAATGTATTTAGATGGAAACAAAGGGAGATGCTACATCTGTTACCTTCATGGTGTGATGTTGTGATTGGTGGCACACGCAGAGGGCTGGTTCCAGAGAACATTAAGTGGAACTGCACTTATGTGGCTGCTTACCAGACTTCCCCCATTTCCCCCTCTGAATTATAACCCCCTGCATCTTCCCAAATTTCTCCTGAGGGCTGACAGTCCTTCTGGACTAATGTAAGATGGAGAAACAGAGGCTGCAGCAGGGAGTTGCATGAATAATGCGGTAACTTGTAGGTTTTGATTTGCCTTTCAACATTGAAAGTTGATTTAGGCTATTTTTGATACAATAAAGAGACTATAGATTCTTTTCTTTGTGAGCCAGAATGAAACAGTTCAGTGCTTTTCCAGTTGGTTCATTTGTTTTAAGGGGAGTTTCTTTTGGTATGTATGAATCCAGATTATGTCTATTGGACTTTTCCCATTCTAAAGAGGATCTCTTCTGCTATTTTATTCCAACATTAGTCACATTGGTCTATCCTGTATTCTCCCAAGAGTTCTGCAGTTTTTCCAGAACGGCACAGAAAAATAAATTGCAGCATGATAGAAATAGTGGAAATTGATTTTCCTTCTCTATGAGCAGAAACACCTCATAGTGCCATGTTCGCACATTGTCTTGTTTAACCATGGTTTTTGAAAAAACTTTAAATTGTAGTTCGCTGGATTCAAATAATATGCTAAGCCAAAACTTAACAAATAATATTATGGCTTAATATATTAATCTATCCAATGTATGAGATTAACCGATTTGGGGGAAGATATCTTTGAGTTTGCAGAGATATGTGACTTGGGATATATCCAACTGTATCCATTGCCAATAATATTCAGATAAATGAGATTTTCTGTTTGAATTTCTACTCTTCGTTGGTCTATGCTCCCCCTAGATGTGTTTCAGATGAGGATCCTCCAGACTGAAGAAGTTTTTGCAGCATATTTTAGGAGAGAGAGAAATACTCATCATTAAAGCAGAAGACACTTATGTATTGATAGATAGAATACTTATTTTTTAAAAAAAATATACTCCTCCTTTCAATTGAACAAAGGGAACTCATTTTTATTTAAAAAAAGGATATGGAGTATGAATAAAAACATGAACTAAATCATTTAATTTAAAAAAGATTAAGTATACCAGAGCTTCTGAGCAATATTAGCCCTTGCATACAACATTGATGAAATCATTTTGTCAATCTTGATCTCATATTTGGATGAATCATTTTGTTATCTCTCACCATTTAACTTTTACACAGTAGTAATCAGTATAGGGAAGACAGTAATGAGTATAGAATCAATATCAGTTTTGGGTTTTGTAAATAATGTTTTATTACTACTAATTATAGTACTATTACTATACTACTACTAATTATACTAGATAGTATAATTATAGCAACTAGCATGTAGGGAAAAAAACTCAAGAGTTTGGGGGCCCAAAGTCAAGATAATATAAACTAAATACTTGTGGAAGATACAAATTCTGATTTATATCATATAAAATATTGTGTTAAGATATTATTTAACTATGTACTCCATTTAAAATGTTTCTGAAAGTTTATATTTTTCAGAAGGAGGATTATTTGCATAGAAGAGTTTTAACACATCTTCTAATAGACATGGTTCTCCTTAGTGTTAACTTTCACATTTATATAATAGTTTGGATGCTTTCTGTCAAGTGATGTTGAGAAGCAATTTTTACTATTTCTCCTGTCAGCACTATGATTTTCCATCTCCGCATTATACAGATTAATAGGATTTTAAACTATAACTAGGCTGAAATTAAAATTCATAGTTGGTCTTTAATTTGCAGTTTGTGTGCATAAAACCAGTAAATATAAATATAAAAAAAAGAGGAGCAAAATCTTTATATATGCCCAGTATGCCACCTTCTTCAGAGATGCTAAAAATGCAAATAAGTACTGTACATTAACAGAACAAGTGTATTTACCTAAAAGTAAATGGGAATTCAATGGGTTTAATTCTCAAGTATGTAAAAATAGTATTTCATGTATGATTTTAATTTTAAACACATTTATGAAGAACTAAGCCCCAAAACGCTTTAATTTTAAACACATTTATGAAGAACTAAACCCCAAGACATGGGGGTTTATTTCTAACTGAAAACTAAAATACATACAGACATATGTAACCTCCTCCTTAAACATAATACAATGGATCCAGAGTTAGATGTACAATGAAACTGGCAGAAATAATGATGCTCCTATAACCCCACCCCCAATTCTACACAAACAGTAGAAGACTGTACTAAGTAGGTAAGCTATATTGGAAAGGCTGAGGGGAAGGAGAAATCACCTCAAAATTGAGCAGTGGCACTTTCTATGAGCCCCACCCTATATAATTGGGAACTTGATGAAACAGCACTGCTTGATCCCCTGAAGCATTTATGTGGGACTATAAGAAATGCTATAGGAGGAGAAAAAGAAGACTGCTTCTGCCACTGTACACACAGAACAGTGAATCCAACCCAGTGAGAGGTTGCAAAAGTACAAATGTTTCTGAATGAATACATATGAATTATTCTCCATCTTCATACAATAAACATAAATAAATGTTCCCAAGAAGTTTCACATAGCTATCAATCAGAGCACATCACATGCAAGAACAATTATTTGCAAAATGGAAAACATACAGGTTTATATCTTCATTTTAGGAAAATGTAAGAATCATTTTTAAAAGCTTGGAACAAATCAGCCTCACTTAGAAAATTTTATTAGAATATTTTAGGTAGCATGTAGTCCAACAGAAAAAGACCTGAAGTGTTCTAGGTGATCTGGCATAGGGAACAAAAGAAATGCAAAACAAGCCACTTGCTTCCTTGTTTTTTATTCTAGGGTTGCAAAAGGTGAGCAGGTGGCAGCTCATACTGAATGTTCCCTACCACCCAACTTATATAAAAATGATCAAATGAATTATTTTTCTTACATGTGTTGTAGGCATTGTGCATCAGTAGTAGCTTTTGATTACTGTAGCTCACATAATTCCAGAGAGCTGTACCTGATGGATGCTGTTTTATCAACAGTCTTAACAGTTTGTTCATAAATAGTTGTATCTGAGCCTATGTATGATATTTAAATTCTTCCTAGTGTAACACAGCATTTACTGAGAGGTAAAGATCAGAAGGAAGGTGTTTGGTATTCAAATGCTCTGGTAAGCATTGAGAAACCTGAAATAATGGTTATTCTTGCATATTCTGTAAAGTTAAACACTAATCAGCCTACTTCCTG